GCGATCTTCCAAAACCCTTCGGCCGCCACGTTCGGAGCTTTTCAGTCGACTCCGATTTCTTCGACGATCTTGGAACAGCGGAGGATCAGTTCCCCGGAAAACCCCTTGCTACGACTAGCTCCGGAGAAAAGAGAGGTTCTCATCACAGGAGTAGTTCCATGGACGGAGCTACAAGTTCTGGTTCGTTTAACATGGAATCCATTCTCGCTGCTAATGGTCCCAAGAAGAATATGGGTATGGGTTGTGACAGACTTGCCGAGCTTGCGTTGCTCGATCCCAAAAGAGCTAAACGGTAACCATCAATTGATAGAGTAATTAGGGTTTTCATTTTCCCCAATCATACCAGACGATTGTGTCCTCATGTCTTTAGTCTTTGTGATAGGATACTAGCAAACAGACAATCTGCGGCGCGGTCGAAAGAGAGGAAGATTAGGTATACAGGTGAGTTAGAGAGGAAGGTACAGACACTTCAGAACGAAGCAACTACACTGTCTGCTCAAGTCACCATGTTGCAGGTAATCTTAGATATGACTTAATCAAGCACACGCTATCTTAAAGCCACTGATTTTATATAGTGATGGTGGAGACTTTGTGCTTGTACTTGGCTCTGTTGATTGCAGCAGACCTTATAACTTGTATTTGAGGCCTAGTGTGTTTAAAATTGCTTCTTCGTGTTAAGAGAATAAGAATGTATTAGGAGTTGTGTTATCGTCGTGTTAGTTCAACCAACAAGTGTGTTCTGTTGATAGTATAATCAAAACACCTGCAGGAGTTTAACTTTATAGGAGTAAGAAAATTCATTATGCATATTTCTACTTCCATTCCTGATCTGTGCTATTTGTATCTTGTACAGAGAGGAACGTCAGAGCTGAACACTGAAAATAAACACCTCAAGATGCGGCTGCAAGCTTTAGAGCAACAAGCTGAACTTAAGGATGGTAAGCGTTCTGGAAAAACAGCATCATATTTAATAAACACATGTTTTGGCACAAACGACTTAAGTCCCCATTACAACATATATTGTTCGGTGTAAATTGCAGCTTTAAATGAAACGTTGCGAGACGAACTGAAACGACTCAAAATAGCCGCAGGAGAAATTCCTCAGGGAAACGGAAAATCATACAACCATCCTCAATACTCATCTCAGCAATCGACAATGCATCATCAGTTTGGGAACAATAAGAATGGGCAGCCATCGCGCCCAAGCTTCATGGATTTCACCAAGAGAGTCTAAGTTCATTTCCCATCTACATGCTGGCTCTCTACATGTTGGCTGAGTTACAAATACTTAATATTCATTTCGGGCTGCAGGAT